AAAAAAAAAAAAAAAGATGCCCAGGTAAATGTGATGTTTACCCAGGCTTGGAAACTATGGCTTTTGGTTTTGGTCACTGTAGGCTGTGCTCCAAATTTTCCAGTTTTCTGTCTTTGCTTTTCCTCTGTCAAATGCTTACCCTAATGACCTTGTCATTCTTCCTAGTGGACAAAGCAACGTTTATGGTTGGCAGCTATGGGCCTCGGCCAGAGGAGTATGAGTTCCTGACTCCAACTGAGGAGGCTCCCAAGGGCATGCTGGCCCGAGGCACTTACCACAACAAGTCCTTCTTCACCGACGATGACAAGCACGACCACCTTACCTGGGAGTGGAACCTGTCCATTAAGAAGGAGTGGACAGAATGAGTGCATCTGCCCATCCCTTTCCCTACCTTGCCACCCAGAAGTACCCTCTCAGTCATGTTCACCACCTTGTCCCTCCTCCATGTTCACAGCTGGATCCCTTCCCCAATGCTCCCCACATTCTGTTATCCACACATCTTATCCCACAATGTCTCTCAAAGTGTTCCCTAAGCACGACATGCTTAAAACCCAGGCTTTAATCCAGCGCATTTCTTCTGGTCCCGCATCATGGCCAGAACTTCAAAATTGTTCATTTCAATACCCAGTCATTTAATGTTTCCTTCTATGTTTCCCATTTGAGCAACTAGAGGCCAGGAAATTGGCAAACCACCACCAACAGTCCTTTTGCCTTGGGTTCCAGTAGCTCATTCCCATCCCTGGATTCTTCTGTGGTTGCTGCTGGCTCAGTGAAGGTCCCTAATCACATTCCCTACCAGTTGAGGTTCTTCTTTTCTGGGAGACTGTAAACAGCACAAGAGAGTAAATAAAACAATTAAATGATCCAACTGAGACCCTCATTTCCCTGCTTTCTTCCTTCAAACAAATATGATAACTAAATTGTTTACATTTGTTAGTTTCCTCAGAGGGCATGTGGGCTGGACACAGTAGAAAAGGTATTTACATCACCAGGAAGAGTTTGGTCTCCCTGTTCCAGGGCAATGAGCAACGGATATTCAGAATATGAGTATTAGAAATCTTGAGTTATTTTACTTTATAGTAGTACCACATGGAACTTTCTCCTGAGCTTGAGACCTCTATATTTCACTGCCTATGGGAATCCCGTTTTGGATTTCTGAGGGCACCTGTGGGCCAAATCAGACACTGCCTCTTACCTGCTTATGATTTTTCAATGTAATCTCATCACCTAGAGAATAAGATCCTACACTTATTGTATAATGCCCCTTACAATCTGGCCTAATTTCAATTACTAATAATTCTCTCACACATTACATTTGCATCTCCATGTTTCACTCTTTGTATGAAACTCTCTTTCCACCTTTGTTGCCTGACGACATCCTATTTACAGAGGATTCTGCTTAGGCATCTGCTGCAGGAAGAAAACCTTCACTGAACCCTACCACTGTCCTAAATGTCCTTAAGTCTGCATTCTCATAGTACCCTATGAGTGTCTCAATTTTTTATCACATCCCGTTTTATATTTAAATGACCTATTTGTCCATCTCACACTAACAATCCAAGCTGGGGAAGGCTGGATCAGATCATACTTACCTTTTGCATCCCTAGTGCTTAGATCAATACCTGCAAAGAATATTTCCTTTTTTTTTTTTTTTTTTTTTAATCCAAATGAACAGCCTCGACTTTCTTCTGGTTGGTTATGTTCTGAGATCCTGTCATGGAACTTGGTCTCTTATCTCAGAAGTTGAAGGTTCCCATAGAGCCAGCTGCACAGTTCCCAGAACACTAACAACACCACAGCCATTTACCAGGAGCGGGCTGCCCTGACTCGGTCTCCTAAAACACAAAGTCCAGGGCTTGGAGAAGGAGCAGGAAAAGAACAATGGAAGCTGACCAATCCAGACTCCTGTTTCTATTATTTCTTTTCGCATGGCGACTATCCCCAGAAGTTGCTGCAGAAGTTCAGGAATCATCAGGTAAAAGAAAAAGCACTTGGGTGACCATTGTTGTTAGGGGAAGAGAAGGGAACGTGGGAATGCTCTAAGTACTTTTCCTCCAAACAGAGAACATTTTCAGGAAATGGAAAATGGATAAAGACCTGTGTTGCCCAGTGGAGAAAAGAGAAGTCTAGCGTCGTCCTTCAGAGTGAAACCATAAGGTGGAGTCACCCTCCATATGTTAGTAAAATAATAAGGCCTTGGGATGATGACCGTGATCTCTTCGGCCATAGTATATAGAGAAAAAGTAGAGAGGCCCTCAGCATTTAGAACTCCTCCCCTCCACTTGATACCCCAACATTTTCTCCTTCTTTCTCTCTCTCTCACTCTCTAGATGGTTCTGCTGCTTCCCAGAAAACTGTGTCACTCACAGATGTCCCAGCGACCGTGGAATTCATTGCTGCTGCTGAGGTGGCTGTCATAGGTTTCTTCCAGGTTTGTCCAGGTACCCCGTTTCTGTTCCCCCAAAGAACCAGGAACATCTTAGCTCAGAGCAGCCATGACAGTCACCTGCTGGCCAGATGATACTGCACTAGAAGTCAAAGGGCACAGAGTCTGCTTTCAGCTTCTCAGTCGAGACCTCTCAATTTCAAGACATTCTCAGTCTCTGAATTATATCTTTCTCACACTTGCTTCAAGAGTTCTGAGGCTCCTCATCTAGGAGTGCTTTGAATCTTAAGTCCATATCGGGACTGCGGAGGCAGGGGCCAGAGTAAACTCAACTTCTATCATCCAGGAAACAGTAGCCAATGGCTAATCTCTGTCTAAAGCCTTACCAAATAGGTAGTCCCTCATCCTTCTAGCTCTTCGTTTGTTCAGAAATGTTGAAAAAGGATGACCTTTTGAACATTGAAGGCATTAGCTGCCATCTTCCAGATTGGCTGCCTGGCTAATGAAAGTAATCATACATGAAAGGGCACTGCTCCAGCATTTTTTCTTTCTTTGAAGGTAACATCTGATTATTCTCACAGATCAAGCCCCTGCTCTTATTGCAGACCTTCTTATCCATTTCCGTTAATTAGTTACTACTCGCCACCACCCTGGCGATTCTGTGTACACAGTTGGAAATGGCTGCAATGAGATGCAAGCGGGGAAGGAAGACAGGGGAGCCCATTTCTCCGCGATGAGAAATCTGAGCTGGAGACCGCAACAGCCACCCTCAGGAAGGCAATGAAAGTGGGAATGGAGGCATTTGCAATAACTTAAGCAGCCACCAGATGCCATCCATCATTTGATCCATGAGTAATTCCACGCTAAGGAGAATCAAAAAGGGGGAAGCCTAGATTAGCAATTGTTCTTAGCCTCGAATGCACTCCACACACCCTTTCCAAGATACCCACTCCCTCTGCTTGACCCCAGAGGCAAGGCTAGTCAGTTTCTTTTCTTTTTGCACTTCTCCCCCTCCGGCCCAGAAAGATGTCAGAAAAGGCCATGCTCCCTCCTGTTTATTGCCTGGAGCTGCTCTGGGCAAAGGTCCTGTGACAGCAGGGAAAATGATGGCGGCTTGTTATGGAAGAACTGGAATCTTGGAATCTTAATTTAGACGTGGCTTCCCTGCCCCCTCCTGCAGGCCTGGGTTCTAGAGTTGGAACAACACAGGAACAATAGCTTCACGGGCAATACCTCAGGTTTAATGCAGGAAAAGAAGACCGTTCTTCCACATCCTGCACAAACCTTTGTTCATAAAACTTCTAAGCTTCCATTTTAATTTCCTTCATTCTTTTTTTTTTTTTTTTTCCTTTTTGGCTCTTTGACAGCACCTATTTCTTATTTTTGCATTTCTTCTTTCCTCCACAAATTGTTCCCAAAACATTTGCCTCTTCTGGTGGATCAGTGACAGTGCAGCCCAGCTCTGCAGGCCTCTCTGATTTGGAGGCCCCTCTCTGCTAATAAACTACAAGCTTTATGGTAAGGCCAGACAGCAGTTTCAGGCTGAGCTACAATTCTGTAGTTACCTATTAGCCCACCCCGCCTGGAAAATTCAACAATCCCACTGCAAATTTAGCCTGCATTCTTAGACGTAAATGTTGTTTCACCTGACAATAAATCAAGTCTATGATTTTTTTAATATGAGTGAGCACATTTCTATTCCCTATTCTCTATGTTTCTCCTCTCTAACATAATCCCTGTGGATTTTTTCTTTTCCTCTTGTTTTCAGGATTTAGAAATACCAGCAGTGTCCCTATTCCATAGTATGGTGCAAAAATTCCAAGATGTGTCATTTGGAATCAGCACTAATTCTGAGGTTCTGGCGTACTACAATATCACTGGGAATACCATTTCCCTCTTCCGCCTGGTAAGCTGGGTGGGCTTCTCGAGCCTTCTTCCAGTTTTTCCTTAGGTTATAGATTCATGAACTTGTGAGCCTGGAAAGGACTCTATGCCTTTAACACTAATGATGGTGCCAGGGACAGAGGAGTCAGGGACAATGATGACAAAGATGGTGGCTCCGCTCAAGCTTCCCAAACAGGTGCTGTCATGAGATGGAGAGAGAACTGGACTGAGCATCAAGAGGTAGGATTGCAGCACAGCTTTGTCACTGACCAGCCACGTGAGTTGTGCAAGTCCCTGGACATTTTTTAGCTTCAATTCCTTCATCTGTAAAATAGAAGAATTTGACCGTATCATCGCTAAGGTCATTTTGAGCTCCAAAATTTTATATTTTTATATCCTTGGGAGTTCACTTATATTTACCAAACATGTATTAAACAACCACTGTGCCTTCTGCAAGACACTGATAATAAAAACATGTTAAATATGTTCTCTGCTCTCATAGGTCTTAAAATATAGTCGAGGATGTAAACATAGTTTATAAGTTTCTACAATGCAAAGAGCATCACTGTGGATAAAGTATGATAGTCATTAAAAGGATAAATGCAATGTAGGGATTCTGGAAAAAAAAATGATGAAAGAGACAACTGAACTGGGATTTAAAGGAGAGATAAAATTTGGACAAAGTAGAGGAGAATTCATGTCCAAGATGGGAATAATAACAAACTTAGGAAACAGTGATCAAGCCAATTTGACTGGATCTCAGGGTACATGTTTAGAGAAAATAACTATAAGAGAAGTTTGATTAAAACCACATTATGGAGAAATTTGAATACCAGGTTAGTGGGTTTGCATTTAACTTGGTTGGCACTGCAAAGCCCTTAAAGCCTTTAGATCCGGGAGTAACATGAACAGGAATGTGTTTTAGCAAGATGATTTTGGCAGTGATGACTAGGGTGGATTGTTAAGCAAAAACACAAGAGTAGAGAGCACTTTTGTTAGGCTGACAAAATCAACCATGTACTAAGGGTCTGCAGTAGAGAGGGGATAAAAGAAAGTGAAGAAAAGGGGCGCCTGGGTGGCTCAGTCGGTTAAACGCCTGCCTTAGGCTCAGGTCATGATCCTGGAGCCCCAGGATTGAGTCCCGCATCGGGCTCCCTGCTCAGCGGGGAGCCTGCTTCTCCCTCTGACCCTACCTCCTTTCATGCTCTCTCTCTCTCAAATAAATAAAATCTTTAAAAAAATAAAAAGACTGATGATGGAAATATTACAAAGCAAGCTGAATGCTTCTAACATGTAATCTTTATACAATCTAAACATCAGAGAAAATTGACCGTATATCAACTAGAGAACTTCCGTGAAGGCAAGAAGCCATCTAAAATCTTTTAATTAGTGCTGGGAATGCCACTGTTAAATACGTACTATTTTAGCTTAAAGCTCTGATTCTTGTATAAGCGACTTCCCCCACTAGAGACGTACAGATTAGGATGTTATTTCCTTTCCTCTTATTGTGACAATGGTCAAGTCCTTTCCTGACACTTAAATCTTGAGGAGATAGAGAGGCTGAGAAGGTGGGTATTATGGGAGAAATGTGCATCTGAGAGGAATGAGGGAAGGCCCACGGAGCCGGGAGAAAATTATTCCCAGATTCAAAAGGTGGACTCATGAGACAGAGCAAAGCCTGACTCCAGAACAGTAGGCTCAGCAGCTAGGTGATTCCTCTCTCACAGTACATATCCACTCTTTACCTTATATGACCTTATTTGTCTGAAGGAGGAAATCCGAGGCTGAGAAGACACACTTCCCCTTCAACTGAAACCATTACAGCAGACAAAAATTCACCTACCTCCACATTCTAGCACCTCTCTAGGAGAATCTCTCTCTCCCTTTCTCTCTTTCTTTTTCTCACCAGGACTCAGGCCTCTTCCTGTGTGAAATTGTGTAATGCTAGCAGGTACAACCGTCAGTTTGTGAGATGAGGTCTGATTTAGCACTAAGGAAATCTAAGGGCCTGACCACATCGCAGGGAAAACTCAGTCTCTTTCACTTTCCCAGCATCGGGATGCCCAAATTTGGTTTTCAAGAAGCTACTGAGGTGAATCCCAGTACACACACACACACACATATAATACACATAATATATATATTATGTGTACAAAATATATAGTATATATTATATATGTATAATATATGTACATACTATATGCATATATACATATCTATACATTATATATACATATAATACACATAGTTATATACAAAATATATAGTATATGTATTATATACAAGTAATATAGGTATATAATACACATAATATATAGTATATATACAAAATATAAGTATATTGTATACATACTACATACACATAGTGTGTGCATGAATATATATATATACTTGCATACATATATATATGATATGAAGCACATGCCCAGAGCTATACAAAACACACACATACACACATAGACACACATACACATACATTTACCCCTGAATGTCAAATGATACAGGACCACACTGGGAAAAGAACAGAGAGTGATTACCTCTCTAACCAGAGTACAGGAATTAGAGTCAGATCCTGGTTTTATGGGGCCCAAAGCTTTTATCACTTAAGTGACTTTCCTTAAGAAAACTAATATGAGATTACAAATGCAAATGCAAAAGTAAGTACAAAAGTGAATATGAGAATATATATCTAGAATGATAAAAGGGAGCCAAAACAAGTAAATTTTTTAAAGCTAGAAAATGTCACAAACATCACCAAATCTACGAAAACAAATAGCTGGTGCTCTTACATAATATTTTTCTTATTAATTTATTTGAGGGGTAGGGACACATTCTTTAATCATCTTTTTGTTTGGCCACTTATGTAATATCATTTTCAGTAGAGAAAATAGAAAGATAATTCAGATTTTCCTCTAGGATGGCTAATTAAAACTTGTTTTTATTATTAACAATTAGAAAAGACATTGTCGGGGCAGCTGGTTGGCTCAGTGGTAGAGCATGCATCCCTCGATCATGAGGTCATGAGTTCAAGCCCCACTTTGGGCATGAAGCCTACTTAAAAAAAAAAAGGCATTATCATACATAGTTCATTGCTGATCATACCTTGTATATTTTAGGGGTGTCATCAAATTTGGGGGAGAAAGCACTATCACATTATTCTCATATCTAGCTGTAAGATTTCAGGCATTTCAAGTGTGTGTGTGTGTGTGTGTGTGTGTGTGATCTCAAATATTCTTCGAACTGAAGGCCATGTGGACCATGTTATTCTGACGGCCCCAGCAAACTGCTCTGGAGTTTAAACTCCATTCATCTCCTTGTATTTCTCCTTCTGAGGAGAATAAACTCTCTCTAAATCCACTTCTACAGGAGATCTTGAAGCCCTCAAAAAAGAAACTTTTGTGCTAAAGGAAGGTGTTGAATACAGAGTCAAAATTCACTTCAAAGTAAGTATCTTGCCCTGTATGTTTTCATAAAGTCTACATTCTTCCTATAATCAGAGAAAGAAAAAAATCATCTTGCATTACCATGTTGTCATAGTTTTTTGTTTCTTTTTTTTCCCCCCTGGATCTGGACTGTCTCTCCCCAACTCTGAGCTCTACCTGTTGAGGCCCACCCCTGCTTCCCACCTTTTCCCTACCAGGACCCTCTCCCTGAACTCTCCGTTGATCACTTAACCAACAGGACCCCTCTGTGAACTCCGAATGCTCCCAACCATGAAGCACACCCTGCTTTATATTGTACCAGTTTTGCCATTTCTTCCCTGTACAGTCCAAGCACCCTGAGAAAGGGAGAGATTATATATCTCTTCTTTCCAACATTTTACACAAAACTTTGTAAATGATATTTAGTGAATATGTATTGAGACATCGATACATGAATGAATCGATTAATAGTAAAAAATGGAACAGATAGAGCCTCAGTTCTAATTGCTCAATGATTATATAAATCCAGGGAGTGTGGACCTTGGTAAATAACTGGAAATTACAATGATAGTTGTGGAGCAAGCAAATATGAAAGAGCAAGACTAAACAGGAGATAAATTGACATAATGAATAGACACATACACCAATGATCGGCCAAAAGCAAAAAGAAAAATAATCTTGGCTGAAACCAAGTAAGTCAGAAATGTACTGTTTGCTCTTAATTGCTTATATTTGCTTTGGTTGCCCTTCTCAGCCATATCCTGCAGGGCAGGGCCCTTCAAGGCCACCAAGGAAGACCCCATCTGCCCTCTGTGTTTGCACACTGAGCTCTTCTTACGCCCCAGTGCAGGATGAATTCAGGGTCTAGGAACAATCCCTGTGTTCCACATATAAATATGCCTCAAAATAATTTCATTCTGAAAATAGTTGTTGATGCCTACTCTATAATATGCACTGAGCTATGGCTCACTTGCTTATTTCCTATAGTATTATTTATTATCGAAGCACCTAAGAGTTTGATATCACATCCAAATATGCCTAGAATTATATCCAAGGCATTGTATCCCAATATGCTTAGAATGGGTTACACACTGGCTTAATTTTTAATCATTAAAACTACTACCTTAATTTATCAATTTAGTAAGCCAGTTGAAACCAAATGAAACAGGACAAGTAAATATTGATGGGAATAAGATCAGAAGGAAAGGTCTGGGGCATGGGCTTCAGCTATGGGTGGGAAGGCCAAAGAGAATGTAGCAAGCGGTCAGTGTTACACATTAGGGTGCTGGAGGACGGGGGCACAGAAAGGGGTTTTCAAGTCCCATCTGCTGCAGACACTTAGCATTTTCTCAAATAAGAGAAAAACCACTCTCTCTATATAACCCACACAAAGTTTAACCAACCTGTCCCAGCATGGAGCTACCATCAGAAGAAGCACCAGCTCAAAACTGTAAATAACTGAGAAGCAATTTAAATCTTTACTGACATCTGTTGAAAAATACCCAAGAAAGTTTGCATTTATAACACCAGCAACAGATCCTAAAATCCTCTTGCGTTATCTCTCTCTTAATTGCACTCCGTGTTCTTCTCTTTCTCCAACACCCCGCTCCCCACCCCCCTGCTTTTGGAGAGAGCGTCATGGCTCTCTCCAAAACCTGGTTTGGGATGGTTCCTTTAGTTTCTTCGCCTTTTCCTTCTGCCTCCCAAGGAAATGTAGTATCTTTGACTTTCACAGCTCTCATGTCACCCAGGTTTTTTCCTCCTGGGGTGAGGGGGAGTGACGGGGAGAAGCGTGCAGATGGAGGAAGAGAATATGATGAATATTCATATTTTTCTCTTACCCATCTCAAACATATTTATATTAAATGAACC